TGTGTCCCCGATCTCTCTGAGGTCTCCCGAGGTGTGTCCCCAATCTCTGAGAGTCTCCCGAGGTGTGTCCCCGAGGTCTCCCAAGGTGTCCCCAATCTCTGAGGAGTCTCCCGAGGTGTGTCCCCGATCTCTGAGAGTCTCCCGAGGTGTGTCCCCAATCTCTGAGAGTCTCCCGAGTGTGTGTCCCCAAATTCTAGGAGTCTCCCGAGGTGTGTCCCCAATCTCTGGAGTCTCCCGAGGTGTGTCCCCGATCTCTGAGAGTCTCCCGAGGTGTGTCCCCGATCTCTGAGGGTCTCCCGAGGTGTGTCCCCGATCTCTGGGAGTCTCCCGAGGTGTGTCCCCGATCTCTGGGGGTCTCCCGAGGTGTGTCCCCGATCTCTGGAGTCTCCCGAGGTGTGTCCCGATCTCTAGGAGTCTCCCGAGGTGTGTCCCCGATCTCTGAGAGTCTCCCGAGGTGTGTCCCCGATCTCTGAGAGTCTCCCGAGGTGTGTCCCCAATCTCTGGAGTCTCCCGAGGTGTGTCCCCAATCTCTGAGGAGTCTCCGAGGTGTGTCCCCGATCTCTGAGAGTCTCCCGAGGTGTGTCCCCAATCTCTGGAGTCTCCCGAGGTGTGTCCCAAATCTCTGAGAGTCTCCCGAGGTGTGTCCCCCAAATCTCTAGGAGTCTCCCGAGGTGTGTCCCCAATCTCTGAGAGTCTCCCGAGGTGTGTCCCCGATCTCTGAGAGTCTCCCGAGGTGTGTCCCCGATCTCTGAGAGTCTCCCGAGGTGTGTCCCCAATCTCTGAGAGTCTCCCGAGGTGTGTCCCCAATCTCTGAGAGTCTCCCGAGGTGTGTCCCCAATCTCTAGGAGTCTCCGAGGTGTGTCCCCAATCTCTGAGAGTCTCCCGAGGTGTGTCCCCAATCTCTGGAGTCTCCCGAGGTGTGTCCCCAATCTCTGAGAGTCTCCCGAGGTGTGTAGGAGTCTCCCAAGGTGTGTCCCCAATCTCTGGGGTCTCCCGAGGTGTGTCCCCGATCTCTGAGAGTCTCCCGAGGTGTGTCCCCGATCTCTGGAGTCTCCCGAGGTGTGTCCCCGATCTCTAGGAGTCTCCCGAGGTGTGTCCCCAATCTCTGGGAGTCTCCCGAGGTGTGTCCCCGATCTCTGAGAGTCTCCCGAGGTGTGTCCCCGATCTCTAGGAGTCTCCCGAGGTGTGTCCCCGATCTCTGAGGAGTCTCCCGAGGTGTGTCCCCGATCTCTAGGAGTCTCCCGAGGTGTGTCCCCAATCTCTAGGAGTCTCCCGGAGGTGTGTCCCCAATCTCTAGGAGTCTCCCGAGGTGTGTCCCCAATCTCTGAGAGTCTCCCGAGGTGTGTCCCCAATCTCTGAGAGTCTCCCGAGGTGTGTCCCCAAATTCTAGGAGTCTCCCGAGGTGTGTCCCCAATCTCTGAGAGTTTCCCGAGGTGTGTCCCCAATCTCTGAGAGTCTCCCGAGGTGTGTCCCCGATCTCTGAGAGTCTCCCGAGGTGTGTCCCCAATCTCTAGGAGGCTCCCGAGGTGTGTCCCTAATCTCTGAGAGTCTCCCGAGGTGTGTCCCCAAATTCTAGGAGTCTCCCGAGGTGTGTCCCCAATCTCTGAGAGTTTCCCGAGGTGTGTCCCCGATCTCTGAGTGTCTCCCGAGGTGTGTCCCCAATCTCTAGGAGTCTCCCGAGGTGTGTCCCCGATCTCTGAGAGTCTCCCGAGGTGTGTCCCCAATCTCTGAGTGTCTCCCGAGGTGTGTCCCCATCTCTAGGAGTCTCACGAGGTGTGTCCCCAATCTCTGAGATTCTCCCGAGGTGTGTCCCCGATCTCTGGGGGTCTCCCGAGGTGTGTCCCCAATCTCTGAGTGTCTCCCGAGGTGTGTCCCCAATTTCTAGGAGTCTCCCGAGGTAAGTCCCCAATCTCTGAGGGTCTCCCGAGGTGTGTTCTCGATCTCTGAGAGTCTCCCGAGGTGTGTCCCCGATCTCTGAGAGTCTCCCGAGGTGTGTCCCCGATCTCTGAGAGTCTCCCGAGGTGTGTCCCCAATCTCTAGGAGTCTCCCGAGGTGTGTCCCCCGATCTCTGAGAGTCTCCTGAGGTGTGTCCCCGATCTCTGGGAGTCTCCCGAGGTGTGTCCCCGATCTCTGAGAGTCTCCCGAGGTGTGTCCCCGATCTCTGGGAGTCTCCCGAGGTGTTCCCCGATCTCTGGGAGTCTCCCGAGGTGTGTCCCAATCTCTAGGAGTCTCCCAAAGCAGCATCCCCAGTCTCTTGGCATCCCCTGAAGCATATCCCTGTCTCTGAGCATCTCTTGAAGCGTTCCCAATTTCTGGGTGTCTCTCCAGGCAGTTCCCAGTCTCCAGGCAGTTCCCAGTGAGCGGTGTTCCCTCCAGGCATGTTCCCAGTCTCCAGGCATGTTCCCAGTCTCCAGGCATGTTCCCAGTCTCCAGGCAGTTTGCCAGTCTCCAGGCATGTTCCCAGTCCATTGGCTTTGTAGACAGTCAAATCCAGGCATGTTCCCAGTCTCCAGGCAGTTGCCAGTCTCCAGGCATGTTACCAGATCTCCAGGCAGTTGCCAGACACGTCACCAGCCTCAAGCACGTCCCAAGTCTCCTCCCTCCTGTAGTCTGTCTCTGACCGTCTACCATAGGATGTCCATTCTCTGTAGCATTTCATACTCTGAACATTATGTGGGGCCTTTTGGTGACATCAGCGATGTCAAGTCAGCTGACCATCACCGAATTCGGGTCGTTTATTTCATTTTAGACATTTTTGCATTTATGATTTTTTATTTTTTATATATGACATAATTCACCTACATAGAGAAGAGTTTGTAGATACCCTGCAGTGGAATGTGGGGGAGGGGGGGAGAAAATCACTTCAAGACTCCACCTAGTGAGGGTGTTGGGCGTTTCTCTGGTCGGTTTGGATGGACCGTGCGGGTTGGTGGAGGTCTGGTGTTGGTGAAGGGTGAAGTTCCTCATACGGACAGATTGGGGTTACAATGTACTTTTTAATTACATTTATAGATTTCTTGGTTTTCGGAGGATCATTTATCAAATCACAACACCGGCAGAGAGATGACGGCACCTCTATGAAGGGCTCCCATGGCTTTGTAGAGCAGTCAAATATCCCTGTAAAAGGTAGCCTGGTGTCCAGTCCATGGGCCATCGTTCCTCAGGCTGGAGACCTGTTGGCGCCATAGATCATTCTATGAGATACAACCCCCCCCCCCCCACCCCCCCCCCCCCCCCCCCAGTACAGTCTCACCATCCAGGCTAATTAACCAGCAGGTCTGTCCTTGCCATGGTGGCTATGGGGAAATATCTCTGTAATAAGGTAGCCTGGTGTCCAGTCCATGGGCCATCGTTCCTCAGGCTGGAGACCTGTTGGCTACATAGATCATTCGGTGAGATACCCCCCCCCCCCCCCGTACAGTCTCACCATCCAGGCTAATTAACCAGCAGGTCTGTCCTTGCCATGGTGGCTATGGGGAAATATCTCTGTAATAAGGTAGCCTGGTGTCCAGTCCATGGGCCATCGTTCCTCAGGCTGGAGACCTGTTGGCTACATAGATCATTCTATGAGATACAACCCCCCCCCCCCATACAGTCTCACCATCCAGGCTAATTAACCAGCAGGTCTGTCCTTGCCATGGCGGCTATGGGGAAATATCCCTTTATTAAGGTAGCCTTGTGTCCAATCCATGGCCATCATTCCTTGGTCTGGAGACCTGTTGGCGCCATAGAGCATTTGATGAGATACAACCCCCCCCCCCCATACAGTCTCACCATCCAGGCTAATTAACCAGCAAGTCTGTCCTTGCCATGGCAGCTATGATGAAAATATATGTTTATGAGGAAGCCTGGTGCCTAGCCCATGGGCCATCAATCCTCGGTCCAGACTCCGAAGACATCACCGGTTGGCTCTGTAGAGCAGTTGGTGATATAGGACTTCCCCCGTCCACAGATGTCCAGCCTCCCCATCCAGATAAAATAACCAGCAGGTCTGTTTTTGCCATGGCAGCCATGAGGGAAATATCCCAGTGTCCCGTCCATGGGCCCATTGTTCCTTGGTGATGAGACAGCTCCTCTAGGAAGGGGCCCTGTTGGCTCAGATACGATGGTGAGATTATGACTCCCTCACACATACAACCTCAGCATCCAGGCTAAATTACGGCTAGGGTGGGATACCTTCATACTAAGGAAGTTGGGTATGAAGCCCACAGTCCATTGTCCCAAGGTCCATATTCCTCACCAGCATTTCCTCCAATACAACAGTGAGCTGAACCTCCCCAATGGGTGGTGAGGAAAAACCGGGGTGACACGTTTTAATTTACATGCTGCCCTCATCTGCCATGGCGCTGTACAAAGTACCAGATATAGAATACTCGAGGGATCAGAATGCAGGAATGTTCGACCAATCACAACATCCGGAAGGGGACTCGGCCCGTATGATGTTATTCGCTTGGCGTTATGTGCAGAGGGCCACATGTCTCTGGTTGGTAATGCAGTTCCCTCTCTGACCATCGGTAGGCATCATAGACCACATTGTTATCATTTATGGTCATGTGTCCCACCATCCATAGACTTGAGTTACAGATCCATCTAGAACTACGATGCCCCTCCAAGGTGGTGCGTTGCTTCGATACTTCCTCCAATACGGATCTGCGTTGGGCTGTAGAGTCGGAAGGTAAGTCCTCCCCGAAGTACAACCATGGCACAGATCTGGCTCTCCGGTGACCATTGCAATCCATCTCAACATCTAACATGGTTCCTCTGTGTGCCGCAATGGAAGGCCATCTACTGAGGATCCTGAGAGACTCCTGGAACGAGTCGGGGATGTAGGTTGGAGAAGCCCATAGACAATCCAATGTCTACTGCTCCTGAGTAGACTATGTCCTCCTTGTACTGTGCTAGAGGGGCCCTTGGGGGTCTCTTCATGTCCTGAGATGAGGGGAGGGGCTATCAGTTCACGGTGTGGATGCCTCACCTTCCTTGCTCTGTAGGGACCGTCTCTAACAATTAGAGAGGCCATCCAATGAAGCCATGTCCAGGGAGGGCCTCTGCAGGAAGCGGGCCAGTTTGTCAGCGAGGTTGTCCAGATGGTTGGCATCGGCGTATTTCAGCAGATTGGCCCGTCGGACAAAAAAATGGCGCAGGAAGCGTTGCCTGGAACATTTCAGAAGTCTGCGGACCAGACGAAGGAAACAGGAACCAAAATCCAGCCATGACTTCGAGGACGGGTTCTGTTCACATTCCCAGAGGAGGATCATCTGGTGAGAACAAAGAGATGGTGACACGGATATGGAGTCTGTCCCCGCCCACTCTATGGAGTCTGTCCCCCGACCCACTCTATGGAGTCTGTCCCCGCCCACTCTATGGAGTCTGTCCCCCGCCCACTCTATGGAGTCTGTCCCCCGCCCACTCTATGGAGTCTGTCCCCGCCCACTCTATGGAGTCTGTCCCCGACCACTCTATGGAGTCTGTCCCCGACCACTCTATGGAGTCTGTCCCCGCCCACTCTATAGCGTCTGTCCCCGCCCAGTCTATGGAGTCTGTCCCCCAGACCACTCTATGGAGTCTGTCCCCGCCCACTCTATGGTGTCTGTCCCCGCCCACTCTATGGCATCTGTCCCCGCCCACTCTATAGCGTCTGTCCCCCGCCCACTCTATGGAGTCTGTCCCCGCCCACTCTATGGAGTCTGTCCCGCCCCACTCTATGGAGTCTGTCCCCGCCCACTCTATGGAGTCTGTCCCCACCCACTCTATGGAGTCTGTCTCTATGGAGTCTGTCCCCGCCCACTCTATGGAGTCTGTCCCCACCCACATCTATGGAGTCTGTCCCCGCCCACTCTATGGAGTCTGTCCCCCGCCCACTCTATGGAGTCTGTCCCCCCGCCCACTCTATGGAGTCTGTCCCCCCCCCACTCTATGGAGTCTGTCCCCGCCCACTCTGGCGTCTGTCCCCGCCCCACTGTATGGAGTCTGTCCCCGCCCACTCTATGGAGTCTGTCCCCGCCCACTCTATGGAGTCTGTCCCCGCCCACCCATGGAGTCTGTCCCCGCCCACTCTATATGGAGTCTGTCCCCGCCCACTCTATGGAGTCTGTCCCCGCCCACTCTATGGAGTCTGTCCCCGCCCACTCTATGGAGTCTGTCCCCGCCCACTCTGTGGAGTCTGTCCCCGCCCACTCTATGGAGTCTGTCCCCCCCCGCCCTCTATGGAGTCTGTCCCCGCCCACTCTATGGAGTCTGTCCCCACCCACTCTATGGAGTCTGTCCCACCCACTCTATGGAGTCTGTCCCCGCCCACTCTATGGAGTCTGTCCCCGCCCACTCTATGGAGTCTGTCCCCGCCCACTCTATAGCGTCTGTCCCCGCCCACTCTATGGCGTCTGTCCCCGCCCACTCTATGGAGTCTGTCCCCGACCCACTCTATCTATGGAGTCGTCTGTCCCCACCCCCACTATGGCGTCTGTCCCCCGCCCACTCTATGTGGAGTCTGCCCACTCTATGGAGCCTGTCCCCCCGCCCACTCTATGGAGTCTGTCCCCGCCCACTCTATGGAGTCTGTCCCCCGCCCACTCTATGGAGTCTGTCCCCGCCCACTCTATAGAGTCTGTCCCCGCCCACTCTATGGCGTCTGTCCCACCCACTCTATGGAGTCTGTCCCCCGCCCACTCTGTGGCATCTGTCCCCGCCCACTCTGTGGAGTCTGTCCCCGCCCACTCTATGGAGTCTGTCCCCACCCACTCTATAGCGTCTGTCCCCCCGCCCACTCTATGGCGTCTGTCCCCGCCCCACTCTATGGAGTCTGTCCCCGCCCACTCTGTATGGAGTCTGTCCCCGCCCACTCTATGGAGTCTGTCCCCGCCCACTCTATGGAGTCTGTCCCTGCCCACTGTATGGAGTCTGTCCCCGCCCACTCTATGGGAGTCTGTCCCCGCCCACACTCTATGGCGTCTGTCCCCGCCCACTCTATGGAGTCTGTCCCCGCCCACTCTATAGCGTCTGTCCCCGCCCACTCTATGGAGTCTGTCCCCCGCCCACTCTATGGCATCTGTCCCCCGCCCACTCTGTGGCATCTGTCCCCGCCCACTCTGTGGAGTCTGTCCCCTCCCACTCTATGGCATCTGTCCCCACCCACTCTATGGAGTCTGTCCCCACCCATCTATAGCGTCTGTCCCCGCCCACTCTATAGCGTCTGTCCCCGCCCACTCTGTGGAGTCTGTCCCCCGCCCACTCTGTGGAGTCTGTCCCCGCCCACTCTATGTGGAGTCTGTCCCCGCCCACTCTATAGTGCCTGTCCCCGCCCACTCTATGGCGTCTGTCCCCGCCCACTCTATGGAGAGTCTGTCCCCGCCCACTCTATGGGCGTCTGTCCCCGCCCACTCTATGGCGTCTGTCTGTCCCCCCCCCACTCTATGGAGTCTGTCCCCGCCCACTCTATAGCGTCTGTCCCCGCCCACTCTATGGCGTCTGTCCCCACCCACACTCTATGGCATCTGTCCCCGCCCACTCTGTGGAGTCTGTCCCCTCCCACTCTATGGCATCTGTCCCCGTCCACTCTATGGAGTCTGTCCCCACCCACTCTATGGAGTCTGTCCCCGCCCACTCTTTAGCGCCTGTTCCCCGCCCACTCTATGGCGTCTGTCCCCGCCCACTCTATGGAGTCTGTCCCCGCCCACTCTATAGTGTCTGTACCCGCCCACTCTGTGAAGTCTGTCCCCGCCCACTCTGTGGAGTCTGTCCCCGCCCACTCTATAGCGTCTGTCCCCGCCCACTCTGTGGAGTCTGTCCCCCGCCCACTCTATGGAGTCTGTCCCCTCCCACTCTGTGGAGTCTGTCCCCACCCACTCTATGGAGTCTGTCCCCCCTCCCACTATAAGAAGTCTGTCCCCGCCCACTCTATGGAGTCTGTCCCCGCCCCACTCTGTGGAGTCTGTCCCCACCCCCTCTGTGGAGTCTGTCCCATGCCCACACTCTGTGGAGTCTGTCTCCTTTCACCCTATGGCATCTGTTCCCCGCCCACTCTATGGAGTCTGTCCCCGCCCACTCTGTGGAGTCTGTCTCCTCCCACTATATGGAGACCAGGGGCGGACTGACCATTTGAGAAACTCAGGCACTGCCCGAGGGCCCGGGGTCAGTAGGGGCCCCATGAGATGCCCTTAGTACCTTTCATAGGCTTTTTTGGGTGTGGTTTGAGTGTGGGCGAGGACACAGGGGCCCCATGATCCCCTATTGCCCAGGGGGCCCCATGAGTTGTCAGACCGCCCCTGATGGAGACTGTCCCCTCCCACTATATGGAGTCTTTTCCCTCCCATATATGGAGACTGTCCCCGCCCACTATATGGAGTCTGCCTCCACCCAACAATATGGAGTCTGTCTCCTCCCTCTTGATGTAGTCTGACTCCTCCCACTATATGGACTGTCCCCTCCCACTATATGGAGTCTGTTCCCTCCCACTATATGGAGTCTGCCTCCACCCAAACAATATGGAGTCTGTCTCCTCCCTCTAAGCGGAGTCTGTCTCCTCCCACTATATGGAGTCTGTCTCCTCCCTCTAAGCGAGAGTCTGTCTCCTCCCTCTAAGCGGAGTCTGTTCCTCCTCCCACTATATGGAGTCTGCCTCCACCCAACAATATGGAGTCTGTCTCCTCCCTCTAAGCGGAGAGTCTGTCTCCTCCCACTATATGGGTCTGTCTCCTCCCTCTAAGCGGAGTCTGTCTCCTACCTCTAAGTGGAGTCTGCCATTTTTTTGGGCACCTTCTTATAAAAGTCGTTCATTTTATAGGGTTTGATGGGGAACCAAAATGTTTTAGGAGACCAAATCCAAACCAATAATGGGGTCCCAGGAGAATGGTACCGATAGCCGGGGCATCAATGGTAGAACACTTCTGCCAATGAGAGTAAGGGGTGGGGATTCTGTCCTCAGGATGACCCAGGTTACTCCTAGGTCCCTGCCCAACCTCGGGGCCCATCTGGATACCCCCAGGGTCAGGGTGACACGAAGTGAAAGTATCTCCTGTTAGGATGGAACCCACCATAGATACCATGAAACTCATTGTCTTCCATTCCTAGGAGGAATCTTCTCACCTGGAGATGCTGTGATGTGATGACGGGACGATTTCCAGGACACCACACGTCCTCCTTCAACTGCCGAACAACACGCAGACACTTCATCCGGCACCCTCCGTCCTCGTCCATCCCCTCCAATAGGAGGCGCTCAGCACGAAGGAAGGACAACTGCCAGTGGTAATTAGTCCGAGCGATGAGGTCAAAGCCAAAGGACTGGAAGATGGAGGAAGGGATCAGATGTTAGTTATGTGGACTCAAAGGGTGGAGGAATGAAGGAGAGTCCCAAAGGTATAAGAGGAAGCCAGAGGAGATGGATTGGGTGAGAAGATTGGAGGAACCTAATAGGACAGCCCATGACACCCTCTAAATGTTGGCCTTGCTGCTGATGATATTAATGACACCATCTGAACACGATGAAATGTCGAGGGGGAAATGTTCGCTCATCTCTGATGGGGAACCAATGGTGTGTAGACAACTGGACAGACAACTTCCTACCTCATCCTCGTACCTTAACACATCGCGCCTTGTCTTGGAAGGCCATCGCTTGAAGAACCTTGGCCAGCGGCCGGACCTGGGCCAACTGCTAGGAATTTCCCACCACAGGAACCAACTCCACGTCTACCGTCTGAATGGAAGTCTCCACATTGACTCTGATGATTGGGCCAATGGACTCCATCACACTCACCTTGTCTGTAAGAGAGATGGCAGAAAACATTGGTGGTCCCTGTGCACTCCGGGGTCATCGGTGACTCCTGTGCCTCTCCAATGGTACAAAACATGGACCCTGATCAATGTGATGGGCAATTCAAGTGAAAACGAGTGTCTGACTCACCTCTCCGTGGTTCCAGCATCAGTCCTTCTGTCATCTCCTGGAGTGCTGGCACTGGCAGGTCTCCTGATTGGTGCTAGCTCCAAGGGCCGGGCAATGCATTGCTCAACATTCGAACAATGGACCACTGTGCCCAAGTCAAGTCCCCTGCTGGAGTCCTCTGTGCCTGCCTCCAGTGACCCCTGTGCTCTCCTGTGTCTCCAGTGACCCCTGTGCTCTCCTGTGTCTCCAGTGACCCCTGTGTCTCCAGTGACCCTGTGCTCTCCTGTGTCTCCAGTGACCCCTGTGCTCTCTGTGTTTCCAGTGACCCCTGTGCGCTCCTGTGCCTCCAGTGACCCCTGTGCTCTCTTGTGTTTCCAGTGACCCCTATGTGCTCCTGTGCCTTCAGTGACCCTGTGTCTCCAGTGACCCTGTTTGCTCCTGTGCCTCCAGTGACCCCTGTGCTCTGTTCTCCAGTGACCCCTGTGTGCTCCTGTGCCTCCAGTGACCCCTGTGTCTCCTGTGTCTCCAGTGACCCCTGTTTGCTCCTGTGTCTCCAGTGACCCCTGTTTGTGCTCCTGTGTCTCCAGTGACCCTGTGTCTCCAGTGACCCCTGTGTGCTCCTGTGCCTCCAGTGACCCCTGTGCTCTTCTGTGTCTGCAGTGACCCGTCTCAGTGTCTCCAGTGACCCCTGTGCTCTTCTGTGTCTCCAGTGACCCCTGTGCTCTCAGTGTTTCCAGTGACCCCTGTTTCTTCTGTGTCTCCAGTGACCCCTGTGTCTCCAGTGACCCGTTTGTGTCTTCTGTGTCTCCAGTGACCCGTCTCCAGTGTCTCCAAGTGACCCCTGTGTCTCTGTGTCTCCAGTGACCCTGTGTGCTCTGTGTCTCCAATGACCCCTGTGTCTTCTGTGTCTCCAGTGACCCCTGTGTCTCCAGTGACCCGTGTGTCCAGTGACCCCTGTGTCTCCTGTGTCTCCTGTGCCCCCAGTGACCCGTGTCTCCTGTATCTCCAGTGACCCCTCCAGTGTCTCCAGTGACCCCTGTGTCTTCTGTGTCTCCAGTGACCCTGTGTCCAGTGTCTCCAATGACCCCTGTGTCTTCTGTGTCTCCAGTGACCCCTGTGTCTCCAGTGTCTCCAGTGACCCCTGTGTCTTCAGTGTCTCCAGTGACCCTGTGGCTCCAGTGACCCGTCTCCAATGACCCCTGTGTCTTCTGTGTCTCCAGTGACCCATCTCCAGTGTCTCCAATGACCCCTGTGTCTTCTGTGTCTCCAGTGACCCGTCTCCAGTGACCCCTGTGTCTCCAGTGACCGTTTTGCTCCTGTGTCTCCAGTGACCCCTGTGTCTCCAGTGACCCCTGTGTCTCCAGTGACCCCTGTGTGCTCCTATGTCTCCAGTGACCCCTGTGTGTGCTCCTGTGTCTCCAGTGACCCGTGTGCTCCAGTGACCCCTGTGTCTCCTGTGTGCTCCTGTGCCTCCAGTGACCCGTGTGTCTTCTGTGTCTCCAGTGACCCGTCTCCAGTGTCTCCAGTGACCCCTGTGTCTTCTGTGTCTCCAGTGACCCTGTGTCTCCAGTGTCTCCGGTGACCTCTGTGTCTTCTGTGTCTCCAGTGACCCATCTCCAGTGTCTCCAATGACCCCTGTGTCTTCTGTGTCTCCAGTGACCGTCTCCAGTGTCTCCAGTGACCCCTGTGTCTTCTGTGTCTCCAGTGACCCCTGTGTCTCCAGTGTCTATGGTGACCTCTGTGTCTTCTGTGTCTCCAGTGACCCATCCCTGTGTCCTTGACCCCTGTGTCTTCTGTGACCCCAGTGTGTCTTCAGTGTCTCCAGTGACCCCTGTGTCTTCTGTGTCTCCAGTGACCCCTGTGTCTCCAGTGTCTATGGTGACCCCTGTGTCTTCTGTGTCCAGTGACCCCTGTGTCTCCAGTGACCCCAGTGTCTCCAGTGACCCCTGTGCTAGCCTGACCTCCTTTATCCTCTACCTTCTGACTCCTGGTTTTCTGACCTTGGCACCTTTTCCTGACCACATCTCCTGTCCTGCCTGCTGTGACCCGTCTGCTGTGACCCATCCACGGGGACCCATGTGCCGTGACCCTTCTGCCGTGACCCATGTGCCGTGACCCATCTGCTGTGACCCATCTGCCGTGACCCGCCTGCCGCGACCCATCCACGGTGACCCATGTGCCGTGACCCATCTGCTGTGACCCGTCTGCCGTGACCCGCCTGCCGTGACCCATCCGCGGTGACCCGTCTGCCGTGACCCGTCTGCCATGACCCATGTGCCGTGACACGTCTGCTGTGACCCGCCTGCCTGCTGTGTGCTGCCAGCACTATCCAGAACCTCTTCCAGGACCAGCTGCTCTCCTCCCCCAGAGCCCACCCACAGAGGGGTCACCATTACAGCATGGACCCCCTTGGCCCAGTGGGCATTTCCTGCTCCTGTGGGCTCAATGTTCCATCTTCGGGGAGCCGCATGGAGAACCTTCTCCTCATTCCGGATTCCAGGCCGGCCACATGCCAGCTCTGCTCCAACAATCACCTGGACTATCCTTCTCTCCGGGGATACGGACTTTTGTGCCAATGAGCCAAGATCTCCAGAAGAACCGAATTCCCGAGACCTCGAATTATTAGATGACATGAAATCAGATCTGGCCGACGGTCTGTCGTGGGATCTTCTCGGATTCTATGGATCCAGGAAGCCTTGGCCGGATCTTAGAGGCTCAGGAGATGATGGACATATAAAGGGTCATACACTCAGAGATGGTGGAGAAGAGAGAGAGAGGAGAGACGATGGAGGAGAGATGATGGAGGAGAGATGATGGAGGAGAGAAGATGGAGGAAGAGATGGAGGAGACGATGGAGGAGAGAAGATGGAGGAGAGAAGATGGAGGAGAGACGATGGAGGAGAGAAGATGGAGGAGAGAAGATGGAGGAGAGATGATGGAGGAGAGAAGATGGAGGAGAGAAGATGGAGGAGAGAAGATGGAGGAGAGAAGATGGAGGAGAGAAGATGGAGGAGAGAAGATGGAGGAGAGACGATGGAGGAGAGAAGATGGAGGAGAGAAGATGGAGGAGGAAGATGGAGGAGAGAAGATGGAGGAGAGATGATGGAGGAGAGATGATGGAGGAGAGAAGATGGAGAGAGAAGAGAGGAGAGAAGATGGAGGGAGAAGATGGAGGAGAGAAGATGGAGGAGAGAAGATGGAAGAGAGACGATGGAGGAGAGAGATGGAGGATGAGAAGATGGAGGAGAGAAGATGGAAGAGAGACGATGGAGGAGAGAAGATGGAGGAGAGAAGATGGAGGAGAGAAGATGGAGGAGAGACGATGGAGGAGAGAAGATGGAGGAGAGAGATGGAGAGAGAGAGAGAGGAGAGAAGAGAGGAGGAGAGAAGATGGAGGAGAGAAAGAAGAGAGGAGAGATGGATGGAGAAGAAGATGGAGAAGATGGAGGAGAGAAGATGGAGGAGAAGAGAGAAGAGAGAAGATGGAGGAGAGAAGATGGAGGAGAGAAGATGGAGGAGAGACGATGAGGAGGAGAAGAGAGGAGAAGAGAAGATGAGAGAAATGGAGGAAGAAGAGAGGGAGGAGAGAAGATGGAGGAGAGAGATGAGAAGGATGGATGAGAAGATGGAGGAGAGAAGATGGAGGAGAGAAGATGGAGGAGAGGATGGAGGAGAGAACGATGGAGGAGAGAAGATGGAGGAGAGAGATGGAGGATGAGAAGATGGAGGAGAAGAGAGAGAGAGAAGATGGAGAAGAGATGGAGAGAGAAGAGAGGAGAGAAGATGGAGGAGAGAGATGGAGGAGAGAACGATGGAGGAGAGAAGATGGAGGAGAGAGGAGAGAAGATGGAGGAGAGAGAAGATGGAGAGATGGAGGAGAGAAGATGGAGAGAGAGATGGAGAGAGAAGAGAGGATGAGAAGGAGAGAGAAGATGGAAGAGAGACGATGGAGGAGAGAAGATGGAGGAGAGAAGATGGATGGAGACGACGATGGAGGAGAGAGATGGATGAGAGAGATGGAGGGAGAAGAGATGGAGAGGAGAGAAGATGGAGGAGAGAAGATGGAGGAGAGAAGATGGAGGAGAGAAGATGGAGAGAGAGAGATGGAGGAGGAGAAGATGGAGGAGAGAGATGGAGGAGCAGAAGATGGAGGAAGACGATGGAGGAGAGAAGATGGAGGAGAGAAGATGGAGGAGAGACGATGGAGGAGAGAGAAGATGGAGGAGAGAAGATGGAGGAGAGAAGAGAGAAGAGAGAGAAGATGAGACGATGGAGGAGAGAAGATGGAGGAGAGAAGATGGAGGAGAGAGAAGATGGAGGAGAGAAGAAGATGGAGGAGATGATGAGGAGGAGAGACGATGGAGGAGAGGAGAAGATGGAGGAACCCGAGAAGATGGAGGTGAGACGATGGAGGAGACAGGTCCTCTTACCAGACAGGTGACAGGCAGGAATAGCTCGGTGGAGGAGCCCATGGAAGACGTTTCACCACTCTGGCCGGCACCAAATCCCCCTGAATGTTAACATCACCTTCATGCCACTGGGGGGTGCTCTTCTGGAACTGCTCCACTTCCAGCCATTGGTGGAGCTTCTCCGGCTCCATGACCGGGGGTGAGGAGGCGAACGCCACTCGGGGTGTAATACCGCCGCCAACGGCGAGAACGTCTATGGCGGAAACCACTGAGACCTCGAAGGGGAACTGTGACCAGGAGCTGTGAGGGGGCCATGACCTGCCGAGAGGAACAGAGAGAGTTGTGACACCGAGGGAGTAACCTGCCGTGACGTCATACATGTGATGAGGGGGGGTGACCAGTACTGATTGCCCCAATATGCCCTGTATTGCCCCAAGTATTGCCCCCCCCCCGTATATACACTATATTGCCCCAAGTATTGTCCCCCCCCCCCCCGTATATACACTATATTGCCCCAAGTATTGTCCCCCCCCCCCCCCCCCCCCGTATATATACACTATATTGCCCCAAGTATTGTCCCCCCCCCCCCCCGTATATACACTATATTGCCCCAAGTATTGTCCCCCCCCCCCCCCCTGTATATACACTATATTGCCCCAAGTATTCCCCCCCCCCCCCCCCCCCCCGTATATTACACTATATTGCCCCAAGTATTGTCCCCCCCCCCCGTATATACATCATATTGCCCCAAGTATTGTCCCCCCCCCCCCGTTTATATACCTATATTGCCCCAAGTATTGTCCCCCCCCCCCCCCCGTATATACATATATTGCCCCAAGTATTGTCCCCCCCCCCCCCCGTATATACACATATTGCCCCAAGTATTGTCCCCCCCCCCCCCGTATATACACTATATTGCCCCAAGTATTGTCCCCCCCCCCCCGTATATACACTATATTGCCCCAAGTATTGTCCCCCCCCCCCCGTATATACACTATATTGCCCCAAGTATTGTCCCCCCCCCCCCGTATATACACTATATTGCCCCAAGTATTGTCCCCCCCCCCCGTATATACACTATATTGCCCCAAGTATTGTCCCCCCCCCAGTATATACACTATATTGCCCCAAGTATTGTCCCCCCCCCCCCCTATATACACTATATTGCCCCAAGTATTGCCCCCCCCCCCCCCGTATATACACCATATTGCCCCAAGTATTGTCCCCCCCCCCCGTATATACACTATATTGCCCCAAGTATTGTCCCCCCCCCCGTATATACACTATATTGCCCCAAGTATTGTCCCCCCCCGTATATACACTATATTGCCCCCAGTATTGTCCCCCCCCCGTATATATACACTATATTGCCCCAAGTATTGTCCCCCCCCCGTATATACACTATATTGCCCCAAGTATTGTCCCCCCCCCCCGTATATACACCATATTGCCCCAAGTATTGTCCCCCCCCCGTATATACACTATATTGCCCCAAGTATTGTCCCCCCCCCCCCGTATATATACACTATATTGCCCCAAGTATTGTCCCCCCCCCGTATATACACTATATTGCCCCAAGTATTGTCCCCCCCCCCCCCCGTATATACACTATATTGCCCCAAGTATTGTCCCCCCCCCCCCCCCACCCCGTATATATACACTATATTGCCCCAAGTATTGTCCCCCCCCCGTATATACACCTATATTGCCCCAAGTATTGTCCCCCCCCCCGTATATACACCATATTGCCCCAAGTATTGTCCCCCCCCCCCGTATATACACTATATTGCCCCAAGTATTGTCCCCCCCCCCATATATACACTCATATTGCCCCCAAGTATTGTCCCCCCCCGTATATATACACTATATTGCCCCAAGTATTGTCCCCCCCGTATATATACCCTATATTGCCCCAAGTATTGTCCCCCCCCCCCCCGTATATACACTATATTGCCCCAAGTATTGTCCCCCCCCCCCCCCGTATATACACCATATTGCCCCAAGTATTGTCCCCCCCCCCCCGTATATACACTATATTGCCCCAAGTATTGTCCCCCCCCCGTATATACACTATATTGCCCCAAGTATTGTCCCCCCCCCCCGTATATACACTATATTGCCCCAAGTATTGTCCCCCCCCCCGTATATACACTATATTGCCCCAAGTATTGTATTGTCCCCCCCATATATACACCATATTGCCCCAAGTATTGTCCCCCCCCATATATATACCCTATATTGCTCCAAGTATTGTCCCCCCCCCCCCATATATACACACCATATTGCCCCAAGTATTGTCCCCCCCCCCCGTACATACCTTTAATTGCCCCCCAGTCTTAGTCCGTTGTTCAATATTGAGTTGGCCCCCGCCCTTTTATACACATGACCATTGCCCCAAGTATTGTCCCCCCCCAGTCTTACACTATAGGGTTCAATATTGAGTTGGCCCCCCCCCCCACACATGACACTTTAATTGCCCCCCCAAGTATTAGTCCGTAGGGTTCAATATTGAGTTGGGCCCCCCCCTTACACCACACATGACCAAGTTTAATGGCCCCCCCCAGTCTTAGTCCGTAGGGCCCCAATATTGAGTTGGCCCCGCCCGTTCCCACACATGACCTTTAATGGCCCCCCAAGTCTTAGTCCCCCCCCCCGTAGGGTTTCAATATTAGTTGGCCCCGTATTTCCCACCATGACCTTTAATGCCCCCCCAGTATTGTCTTAGTCCGTAGGGTTCAATATGATTGGCCCCGCCCTTCCCACACACATGACCCCTTTAATGGCCCCCCCCAGTATATAGTCCTATAGGGCCCAATATTAGTTCCCCCCCCCTTTATCCCACGCATATTGCCCCAAGTATTGTCCCCCCCAGTCTTAGTCCGTAGGGTTCAATATTGAGTTGCCCCGCCCTTCCCAACATGACCTTTAATGGCCCCCCCAGTCTTACTCCTGTAGGGTTCAATATTGAGTTGGCCCCGCCCTTCCCCACCACATGACCTTTAATGGCCCCCCAGTCTTAGTCCGTAGGGTTCAATATTGAGTTGGCCCCGCCCTTTCCACGCACATGACCTTTAATGGCCCCCCAGTCTTAGTCTGTAGGGTTCAATATTGAGTTGGCCCCGCCCTTTGCAGCTATAACAGCTTCAACTCTTCTGGGAAGGCCCCCCACAAGGTTTAGGAGGGTGTCTATGGGAAGGTTGGACCATTCTTCCAGAAGCACATTTGTCAGGTCAGGCACTGATGTCGGGGGATGCACTGATGTCGGGGGGGAGGGGCACTGATGTCGGGGGAGGAGGATGTCGGGGGAGGAGCACTGATGTCGGGGGAGGAGGCCTGATGTCGGGGGAGGGGCACTGATGTCGGGGGAGGGGGCCTGGCTCGCAGTCTCCGCTCTGATTCATCCCAAAGGTGTTCTATGGGGTTGAGGTCAGGACTCTGTGCAGGACAGTCAAGTTCCTCCACCCCAAACTGGCTCCTCCATGTCTTTATGGACCTTGCTTTGTGCACTGGGGGGCAGTCATGTTGGAACAGGAAGGGGCCATCCCCAAACTCCTCCCACAAAGTTGGGAGCATGAAATTGTCCAAAATGTCGCCTTAAGAGTTCCCTTCACTGGAACTAGGGGGCCAAGCCCAACCCTGAAAAACACCCCCACACCATAATCCCCCCTCCACCAAACTTTACACTTGGCACAATGCAGTCAGGCAAGTACCGTTCTCCTGGCCACCTGCCAAACCCAGACATGTCCATCAGATTGCCAGACAGAGAATGTGATTGGTCACTCCAGAGAACACGTCTCCCCTGCTCTAGAGTCCAGTGGCGGCGTGCTTTACACCACGGCATCTGACGCTTTGCATTGCACTTGGTGATGGAAGGCTTGGATGCAGCTGCTCGGCCATGGAAACCCATTCCATGAAGCTCTCTACGCACTGTTGTTGGGCTCATCTGAAGGCCACACCAAGTTTGGAGGTCTTTAGCTATTGACTCTGCAGACAGTTGGCGACTTCTGCGCACTGTGCGCTTCAGCATGCGCTGACCCCGCCCTGTCATGTGACGTGGCCTACCACTTGGTGGCTGAGTGGCTGTTGTTCCCAGTGGCTTCCACTTTGTTATAATCCCACTAACAGTTGAGCGTGGAATATTTAGTAGCCAGGAAATGTCACGGATGGACTTATTGCCCAGGTGGCCACCTATCACGGGACCACGCTTGGAGTCACTGAGCTCCTGAGAGCGACCCATTCTTTCACCAATGTTTGTAGAAGCCGTCTGCATGCCTAGGGGCTTGATTGTATACACCTGTGTCCATGGAGGGGATTGGAACACCTGAATCACATGATATGGAGGGGATTGGAACACCTGAATCACATGATATGGAGGGGATTGGAGCACCTGAATCACATGATCGCATGGAAGGGATTGGAGCACCTGAATCACATGATATGGAGGGGATTGGAACACCTGAATCACATGATATGGAGGGGATTGGAACACCTGAATCATGATATGGAGGGGATTGGAACACCGCATGATATGGAGGGGAAACACACATGATATGGAGGGGATTGGAACACCTGAATCACATGATATGGAGGGGATTGGAAACACCTGAAATCATACGATATGGAGGGGATTGGAGCACCTGATCAGCATGATATGGAAGGGATTGGAGCACCTGAATCACATGATATGGAGGGGATTGAGCACCTGAATCACATGATATGGAGGGGATTGGAACACCTGAATCACATGATATGGAGGGGATTGGAACACCTGAATCATGATACGATATAGGGAGGGGATTGGAACACCTGAATCACATGATATATAGGGGATTGGAACACCTGAATCACATGATATGGAGGGGATTGGGGATGATATGGAGGGGATTGGAACACCTGAATCACATGATATGGATGGAGGGGATGGGAACACCTGAATCACATGATATGGAGGGGATGGGAACACCTGAATCACATGATATGGAGGGGATTGGGAACACCTGAATCACATGATATGGAGGGGATGGGAAACACCTGAATCACATGATATGGAGGGGATTGGAACACCTGAATCACATGATATGGAGGGGATGGAACACCTGAATCACATGATATGGAGGGGGGGGGGGGGACTATAATTGGGGCGATATAGTGTATATATAAGGACAGCATTGGATGAGGTTTTCTTATTATGAAATGACCAATAAACATAAAGAATTGGGATCCTTGGACATCGGGGGGGGGGGGGGGGGGATGACCGTCCGGGATGGGGGGGTGAGTGCAGGTCGGTGGGGAGGAAGTCATTGATGCCGTGATTGATCTGCCCCCCCCCGACATTAGAGCACAATGCACAGACTGGGTCCTGATGAGATTTGGGGGGTCATCATGCAGAGGATTGGGGGGCACATTGGGGGACACTCCCCATTACCTGTATACAGGGGTGCAGTGAGCGGCGCCCCCTCAGCAGCGCCATCCAGTGGGCCAGTAAGTCCGGCTGTTCCTGATGTGCAGCGAAGGAGAGAGAGAAGACAGTGACAGCGGAGGACGGCCTACAGCGGTGTGCCCCCCGTGAGTGACCCCCCCCTGATCTGACCCCACCCCCTGACCCCACCCCACCTCCTCCCCCCCCATCTGACCCCCACCTGACCCCCCCACCCCATCTGACCCCACCCCCATCTGACCCCCACCCCTCTCCCATCTGACCCCACCCCATCTGACCCCACCCCTCTCCCTGACCCACCCCATTTGACCCCACCCCCTCCCATCTGACCCCCCCTCTTCCATCTGACCCCACCCCTCTTCCATCTGATCCCACCCCTCCCCATCTGACCCCACCCCATTTGACCCCACCCCACCCCATCTGACCCCACCCCTCTTCCATCTGACCCCACCCCCAAGGTACCAGGCAAGCAATGTAATTAGGTGCCCCTCTCTGACCCCTCCCCCAGGGTGTCACAGCCAGCCACGCCTCCTCCTGTTGTCAGCCAGTCAGATCCCATCCGACACACCAGGAAGTGGGAGGAAGCCCCCAGGGGGAGATTTACTCTCTACTGCTCTTCTGGTGACAACAATTTAGATTTGCCATCACTTCCTGTCTGGGTGACACCAGGTTGATTCTCTGCACTGGGGACACAGACAGGGGGTCTCCCTCGTTTCGTCCAGCAGGGCGGCGCTGTACGGGGGTTCTGGTCACATTGGGGGGGTCCTCACCTTTAGGTGGTCGCTGTGGATGCCGGAGTTGGAGATGCTCTGAAATCGGGAATCCCAGGAACTGATCTGCACCGTCAGCTCCAGCATGACGCTCTGCACCTCCTCCACCATACGGGCCACACGACGGTGCCGGGCGTCCCCCTGGGGGCGGGGGACAGGGCGGTCAGGATTGGAGGACAACATTGTGTAATGTATGGTGTGACCACGCCTACTTCTGGGTTTTCATCGCCCCCTAGAGGCTCTCTGTATGTCAGGCAGTGCAGCTGCACCTCTGCTGAACAGGACTGGAATTCTCCTCAGGTGACCACTAGATGGAGCACCACAGCCTACCGCCACCTGCTGGACAAACCTGAAACCAATGAAAGACGTTCGACCCGCACAGAGCTCAGCTCAACGACTGTCGTTTCCTCCCAACGAGACCCTTCTATTATATATGGGGGGTGTAGAGGAGGATTGGACGGTGTGGGGGAGGGGATTGGACGGTGGGGGGGGGGGATTGGACGGTGTGGGGGGGGGGGATTGGACGGTGTGGGGGGGGATTGGACGGTGTGGGGGGGGGATTGGACGGTGTGGGGGCGATTGGACGTTGTGGGGGGGGAATTGGACTGTGTGGGGGAGGGGATTGGAAAAGGGGGGGGGGGGTTCTGGGGGGATTGGACGGTGTGGGGGGGATTGGACGTGTGTAGGGGGATTGGATGTGTGGGGGGATTGACCGGGGATTGGACGGGGAGTCTGGACGGGTGGGGGGATTGGACGGTGTGGGGGGGGGATTGGACGGTGTGGGGGGGGGATTGGACGGTGTGGGGGGGGGATTTGGACGGTGTGGGGGGGGATTGGACGGTGTGTGGGGGGGATTGGACGGTGTGTGGGGGGGACGGGGGATTGGACGGTGTGGGGCACTGGGGGATTGGACGGTTGACTGGTGGGGGACTATGGGGATTGTGGGAGGGGGGATTGGACGGTGGGGGGGGGATTGGACTGTGGGTGGGGGGGATTGGACTGTGTGGGGGGGGATTGGACGGTGTTGTGGGGGGGATTGGGGTGGGTGGAGGGGGATTGGGATGGTGTGGGGGGGGGAATTGGTGTGGGTTTTTTGGGGGGGATTGGACTGTGTGTGGGGGGGATTGGACGGTGTGACGGTGGGGGATTGGACGGTGTGTGGGGGGGATTGGACGGTGTGGTGGGGGGAATTGGACGGTTGTGGGGGGGGGGGATGTGGCACGGGTGTTGGGGGGGAATTGGGACGGTGTGGGGGGGAGAGTGGGGATTGGACGGTGTGGGGGGGGGGAGAAGATTGGACGGGTGGGGGGGGGATTGGACGGTGTGGGGGGGAGGGGAATTGGAAAGTGTGGGGGGGGGATTGGACATGTGTGGGGGGGGCATTGGACGGTGTGGGGGGGTGGGATGGTGGGGGGGGGATAGTGGAGGTGGCAGGGTGTGGTGGTGTGGGGGGGAGTTGGACGGTGGGAGGGAGATTGGACGATGTGGGGGGGGGGATTGGATGATGTGGGGGGATGGACAGTGTGGGAGGGGATTGGACAGTGTGGGGGCGAGGAGGGGAATTGGACTGTGTGGTGTGGGGGGGGGATTGGGACTGACTGGGCGGGATTTAGGTGGGGGAGGGTGACATTGGGGATTGATGATTGGGGGGGGGGAGTGTGGGGGGGGTTGGAAGTGTGGGATAGGGTGGATGTGGAGGAGGAGATGGAGGGGACGGGGATTGGACAGTGTGGGAGGGGATTTGGACGGTGTGGGGATTGGATTGGGGGTCCTTGAGGGTGGCAGAGGAATTGGACTGTGTGGGGGGGGATTGGACAGTTAGATGTGGGGGGGAGTTTTCGAAAGGTGGGGGGTTTGCAATTGGATGAGTTGGGGGGATTGGATAGGTGGGGGGGGAGGTGTGACTGGAGTGGTGGGGGGGGGATTGGGACTGTGTGGGGGGGGGAATTCATAGACAGTGTGGGGGGGATGGGGTGGTGGTCGGTGGGAGGGGATTGGATGTGTGTGGGGAGGAGGCCATGGACAGTGTGGGGGGGGGGATGGGATGGTGAGGGGGGGGGATTGGACGATGTGTTGGATGAAGGGAATGTTGACGGCCAGTGCAGGAAGTCGTTTGTGAGATTCGATGGAGTTTTTGCTTCAAGTTGTCTCAATTATATAGGGCCATAGACACGGGAGGAGGCAATAGACACGGGAGGAGTAGACACGGGAGGATGATAATTAGACACGGGAGGTGATGTCATAGACACGGGAGGAGGCCATAGACACGGGAGGGAGGCCATAGACACGGGAGGAGGGGCCATAGACACGGGAGGGAGACCATAGACACGGGGAGAGAGAGGCCATAGACACGGGAGGAGATCCATAGACACGGGAGGAGGCCATAGACACGGGAGGGAGGCCATAGACATACGGGAGGAGCCCATAGACACGGGAGGAAGGCCATAGACACAGGGAGGGAGGCCATAGACACGGGAGGGAGGCCCATAGACACGGGAGGAGACCATAGACACAGAGGAGGCCATAGACACTGGAGGGAGTCTCCATAGACACGGGAGGAGGACCATAGACACGGTGACGGGAGGAGCCATAGACACGGGAGGGAGGCCATAGACACGGGAGGAGGCCATAGACACGGGAGGGATTCCATAGACCACGGGAGGATTCCATAGACACGGGAGGAGGCCATATGGACACGGGAGGAGGCCATAGACACCGGGGAGGAGACCATAGACACGGGGAGGCCCATAGACCATAGACACGTGGGAGGGAGGCCATAGACACGGGAGGAGACCATAGACACGGGAGGAGGCCATAGACACGGGAGGAGACCATAGACACGGGAGGAGGCCATAGACACGGGAGGAGGCCATAGACACGGGAGGAATTCCATAGACACGGGAGGAGGACCATAGACACGGGAGGAGACCATAGACACGGAGAGGAGACCATAGACACGGGAGGGACCATAGACACGGGAGGAGGACCATAGACACGGGAGGAGACCATAGACACGGGGAGGAGGCCATAGACACGGGAGGAGACCATAGACACGGGAGGAGGCCATAGACACGGAAGGAGGCCCTAGACAGGGGGAGAGACCATAGACACGGGAGGAGCCATAGACACGGGAGGAGACCATAGACATGGAGGATTCCATAGACACAGGGAGGAGAGGCCCATAGACACACGGGAGGGAGGACCATAGACACGGGAGGATGCTCGATTCCATAGACAGGGGAGGGAGGGCCATAGACATCGACCGGGAGGAGGACCCATAGACACAAGACACAGGAGGAGGCCATAGACACGGGAGGAGACCATAGACACGGGAGGATTGGCCATAGACACGGGAGGAGACCATAGACACGGGAGGGAGGCCATAGACACGGGAGGACCATAGACACATGGGGAGGAGGCCATAGACACGGGAGGAGGACCATAGACACACGGGAGGAGGCGCCATAGACACGGCCATAGACACGGGACGGAGGACAGACATCGGACTTGGGCCGATGGACAGACGTACAGTACATTGGACAGATGTGGGACAGACGTGGGACAGACATCTCGGACAGACGTGGTGGTACAGCATTGGTCCAGACGTGGACAGACATTGGACAGACATGGACAGACGTGGGACAGACATTGGACAGACGTGGTACAGATGTGGGACAGACCCGGACAGACGTGGGACGGACGATTGGGACAGACGTGGGACAGAGTGAGACGACGTGGACAGACATTGGGACAGACGTCGGACGATGTGAGACAGACCATGGACAGACGTGGGACAGACGTGGGACAGACATGGGACAGATGTGTGAGACAGACATGGACAGACGTGGGACAGACGTGCGGAACAGATGGAGACAGACATGGGACAGACGTGGGACAGACGTCGGACAGATGTGGGCAGACGGTGGGGACAGACATCGGACAGACATGGGGACAGAGTGGGACAGACATGGGACAGATGTGGGACAGACAACAGACATTGGACAGACGTGGGACAGACATTGGACAGATGTGGGACAGACATGGGACAGACGTAGGACAGACATGGACAGACATGGGACAGATGTGGGACAGACATGGGACAGACGACAGGACAGACATTGGACAGACGTGGGACAGACAGACATTGGTCAGACGTGGGACAGACATTGGGGACGTAGGACCAGACGTGGGACAGACATCAGACAGATGTGGGGGACAGACATCAGACAGACGTGGGACAGACATCATGTGGGACAGACGTGGGACAGACATCAGACAGACGTGGGGACAGACGTGGGACAGACATCAGACAGACGTGGGGGACAGACATCAGACAGACGTGGGACAGACGTGGGACAGACATCAGACAGACGTGGGACAGACATCAGACAGACGTGGGGACAGACGTGGGACAGACATCAGACAGACGTGGGACAGATGTGGGACAGACATCAGACAGACGTGGGACAGACATCGACAGACGTGACAGGACAGACGTGGGACAGACATCAGACAGACGTGGGACACGTTGGACATCAGACGTGACAGACATTAGACAGACGTGGTACAGAAATGTGAGTACCGTGTTGTGGAGGAAGTTGTTGAGTTCCTCCTCGGTGATCCTCCTCTTCTCCATCCTCCTCCTCCTCCGGGGTCCTCTCTGTGCGACACCCCGACACCAGAGCACCAATCCCTCTACCAACCCCGCCACTGCAGTGTCAGCCCCATAACAACCCACGTGCCAGATCACCCCAACCGTGTATGAGTGCACTGTGATCACATGTGTACACACTAACCCCGACAGCACCGACCCCGGACAGCACGGACCCCGACAGCACCGACCCCAACAACACCGACCCCGGCAACACCACCCCGACAACACCGACCCCGACAACACCACCCCGACAACACCGACCCCGACAACACCGACCCCGACAACACCGACCCCGGCAACACCACCCCGACAGCACCGACCCCGGCAACACCGACCCCGACAACACCGACCCCGGCAACACCGACAACACCGACCCGCAACACGACCCCGACAACACCGACCCCGACAACACCCACCCCGACAACACCACCCCGGCAACACCGACCCCGACAACACCGACCCCGCAACACCACCCCAAACACCGACCCCGGCAACACCGACCCCGACAACACCGACCCCGACAGCACCGACCCCGGCACAACACCGACCCCGACAACACCGACCCCGGCAACACCGACCCCGACAGCACCACCCCGGCAACACCGACCCCGGCAACACCGACCCCGACAACACCACCCCGACACACCCCGACAACACCGACCCCGACACCCCGGCAACACCGACCCCGACAACACCACCGACCCCGGCAACAACGACCCGGCAACACCGACCCCGACAACACCGACCCCGACACACACCGACCACCGACCCCAGCACCGACCCCGACAACACCGACCCCGCAACACCGACCCCGACCGACCCCGACAACACCGACCCCGGCAACACCGACCCCGAGGTTCCAACCAACCCACCAGATCCCAACTTATCGACTATCACACTGCAGCTCTCTCTGACTACCTTTATAGAAGTGACCGCACCTTCATCCCGACACAACTGATCCAACATCTCTACATCCTCACCTCCCCCACCCGACCTGACCGACCCACTCCTGTCAGCTCTCCGCTCATCCAGTCAGTTCTCCGCTCATCCAATCAGCTCTCCGCTCATCCAGTCAGTTCTCCGTTCATCCAGTCAGTTCTCCGCTCATCCAATCAGCTCTCCGCTCATCCAGTCAGCTCTCCGCTCATCCAGTCAGTTCTCCGCTCATCCAATCAGCTCTCCGCTCATCCAGTCAGTTCTCCGCTCATCCAATCAGCTCTCCGCTCATCCAGTCAGTTCTCCGTTCATCCAGTCAGCTCTCCGCTCATCCAGTCAGCTCTCCGCTCATCCAATCAGCTCCCCGCTCATCCAATCAGCTCCCCGCTCATCCAGTCAGCTCTCCGCTCATCCAGTCAGGTCTCCGCTCATCCAGTCAGCTCTCTCCGCTCATCAGTCAGTCAGCTCTCTGCTCATCCAGTCAGGTCTCCGCTCATCCAGTCAGCTCTCCGCTAATCCAGTCAGTTCTCCGCTCATCCAATCAGGTCTCCGCTCATCCAGTCAGCTCTCCGCTCATCCAGTCAGCTCTCCGCTCATCCAATCAACTCTCTCCACTCATCCAGTCAGCTCTCCGCTCATACAGTCAGCTCTCCGCTCATCCAGTCAGCTCTCCGCTCATCCAATCAGCTCTGACTGTCCTGCCAGCACTACTACGACCCTATGGGAGCTCTACTACCCTTCCAGCTCCACAACTCCCATGAGCCCCCCTCCCCCAGATCTCTGTGGCCGGTGGTCGGTCCCTCTCTCTGTCCTCCGAGTGTATGAAGATCAGCCTCTCCGGGACGATGAATGTCACGCCTCCCCTCCCCCTCCTCCCTCCACCAATCTTTACTGTAAACAGCAATTGTTCTACTTCTCACCCAACCGCCACACAGACCGACATTGGTCACATGAGGGGGGGGGGGGGGGGGGGGGGGGGGGGGGGGGGGGGGGGGGGGGGGGGGGGGGGGGGGGGTGTCCCCAGACACGGATCTATCATACAGCTCAGGCGTGACCCCAGACACGGATCCATCCTACAGCTCAGGCGTGACCCCTGACACGGATTCATCCTACAGCTCAGGCGTGACCCCTGACACGGATCCATCCTACAGCTCAGGCGTGACCCCAGACACGGATCCATCATACAGCTCAGGCGTGACCCCAGACACGGATCTATCATACAGCTCAGGCGTGACCCCAGACACGGATCCATCCTACAGCTCAGGCGTGACCCCGGACACGGATCTATCATACAGCTCAGGTGTGACCCCAGACACGGATCTATCATACAGCTCAGGCGTGACCCCAGACACAGATCCGTCATACAGCTCAGGCGTGACCCCAGACACGGATCCCTTTTACAGCTCAGGCGTGACCCCAGACACGGATCCATCATACAGCTCAGGTGTGACCCCAGACACGGATCCTTCATACAGCTCAGGCGTGACCCCAGACACGGATCCATCCTACAGCTCAGGCGTGACCCCAGACACGGATCCGTCATACAGCTCAGGCGTGACCCCAGACACGGATCCGTCATACAGCTCAGGCGTGACCCCAGACACGGATCTATCATACAGCTCAGGCGTGACCCCAGACACGGATCCGTCATACAGCTCAGGCGTGACCCCAGACACGGATCCTTCATACAGCTCAGGCGTGACCCCAGACACGGATCCATCATACAGCTCAGGTGTGACCCCAGACACGGATCCTTCATACAGCTCAGGCGTGACCCCAGACACGGATCGGTCATACAGCTCAGGCGTGACCCCAGACACGGATCTATCATACAGCTCAGGCGTGACCCCAGACACGGATCTATCATACAGCTCAGGCGTGACCCCAGACACGGATCTGTCATACACCTCAGGCGTGACCTGAGCTGTGATCTCTGCAGCTCCTCCTCCCATGATCCTCTTGGCTGCTTCTCTGATGAATGCTCTCCTTGCCCGACCGGTCAGTGTAGATGGACGGCCATGTCTTTGGTAGGTTGGCAGTTATGCCGTACTCCTCCCATGTTCGGATGATGGAACACAGCGCTCCGTGAGATGGGCAAAGCTTTCTCCACAACTTTATCCCTGACCTGTCTGGTGTGTTCCTTGGCCTTCATGATGCTGATTGGTCACTAATGTTCTCTAACAAACCTCTGAGGGCGTCACAGAACAGCTGGATTTATCCTGAGATCACATGACACACAGGGGGCTCTATGTACCAATGAGGGGACTTCTGAAGGCAATCGGTTCCACTAGATTGTAGTCATGGGGATCAGAGTAAAGGGGGCTGAATACAAATCCCACCACACTTCTCACAGATTTATTGTCACAAATGTTGGAATCATTTCTCCCTTCACAATGATGGGCCCCTTTGTGCCGGTCCATCACACGGGTGTCATTGGGGGTCCTCCAGCTGCTGCCAGACTACAAGTCCCATGAGGCATTGCAAGACTGACCGTTACCAGCATGGCTCCGGAAGGCAGAGGCATGATGGGACTTGTAGTTCCACAACAGTTGGAGGGACACCAGTTTGACACCCCCGGCCTATCACATCCAATCCCAATACATGGACGGGTCTGGTGGTCACATGACAACACGGGGGACATTCCAAGGGGGAGGAGGACTTCTGGGGGGGGGGGGGGGTCTCCCTAATGGGGACACAGACAGCAATAAAACTTGTTAGGGGTCTCCACCCACCAGGGGAGTACATACACGGCCCCACCAATCAGAGGAAGACTCTGAGAACCCATCAGATCCCAATGGGGAGGAGTCTCCTGCTGGATCTCTGTACTGACATGGACGGGGGATGGGGGGGGCACACCCCACCCCACCCCACCCCATCGTTGGATGGAAATGATGGACCTACAGAGGACTGAATTCACAGACACCCCGAAAATCAAAGTGAAGAAATGATGCAGCAGGCGAGTCCATGTTGGTGAAATGTCATTGCAGCAACTCAGAATGGCCCTCAGTAGTCTGTGTGGCCCCCACGTGCTTGTATGCATGCCTGACAACGTCGGGGGAGGGGCCTAATGAGACCACGGATGGTGTCCTGGGGGATTTCCTCCCAGATCTGGACCAGGGTGTCACTGAGCTCCTGGACAGTCTGAGGTGCAACCTGGAGGCGTCAGATGGACCGAAACATGACATCCCAGAGGGGTTCTATTGGGTTTAGGTCAGGTGAGTGTGGGGGCCATTCAATGGTATCAATTCCTTCATCCTCCAGGAACTGCCTGTATACCCCCCCCCCACATGAGGCCGGGCATTGTCTGCACCAGGAGGAACCCAGGACCCACCGCACCAGGAGGAACCCGGGACCCACCGCACCAGGAGGAACCCAGGACCCCCCACGCCAGGAGGGACCCAGGACCCCCTGCATCTGGAGGAACCCAGGACCCACCACACACCAGGAGGAACCCAGGACCCCCCACGCCAGGAGGGACCCAGGACCCCCCACGCCAGGAGGAACCCAGGACCCCCCACGCCAGGAGGAACCCAGGACCCACTGCATCTGGAGGAACCCAGGACCCCCCACGCCAGGAGGAACCCAGGACCCACTGCATCTGGAGGAACCCAGGACCCCCCACGCCAGGAGGGACCCAGGACCCCCCACGCCAGGAGGAACCCAGGACCCCCCACGCCAGGAGGAACCCAGGACCCACTGCACCAGGAGGATTCCAGGACCCACTGCACCAGGAGGATTCCAGGACCCCACTGCACCAGGAGGAACCCAGAACCCACCGCACCAGGAGGAACCCAGAACCCACCGCACCAGGAGGAACCCAGGACCCACCGCACCAGGAGGAACCCAGGACCCACCGCACCAGGAGGAACCCAGGACCCACCGCACCAGGAGGAACCCAGGACCCACCGCACCAGGAGGAACCCAGAACCCACCGCACCAGGAGGAACCCAGAACCCACCGCACCAGGAGGAACCCAGAACCCACCGCACCAGGAGGAACCCAGAACCCACCGCACCAAGAGGAACCCAGGACCCACTGCACCAGGAGGAACCCAGGACCCACCGCACCAGGAGGATTCCAGGACCCACCGCACCAGGAGGAACCCGGGACCCACTGCACCAGGAGGAACCCAGGACCCACTGCACCAGGAGGAACCC